GCGGTGACGGTCGTCCTGAGCGGGGTCCGGGACTGCTTCCTGCACTTGCCTCCCGTGCTGGCCTCTCACCTCCGCCTGCAGCAGGTACCGGGTCGGCCCCGCTGGGGGCCTGGGCGGAGGGACGCCTCGGGCAGAGAGGATTATGGGAGAGCAGCATCCCGTTGCTATGGTGACACGAATAGCCCTCCTCCCACAGTAACTCCCAGCATTAACTGAATGATGTGTAAATTTTTCAGGTAGGAGGTAAAGTGGTAAATCTGAGCAGAGTCATCATTCTTGGTATTCAGAAATCTTTCACTATGTATTCCTGTATCGAAAGGGACTCCTGTCGTGCAAAGTCCTATTAAGTACACGGATCAGGCGCAGGAAGTGCACCTTAGATTTTGCATAACATTTCACACGTGAAAACGAGAGCGAAGCCTGCTTGTGTCCCTTGTGCGGCGAACAGGAGAACTAAGGATGCGCTAGCAGAACAGACAGGGTGAAAAATGGCAAGAATGAGCGAGCGAAGAGAAGGAGACGGAGCAAAGCTCGGGAGCGGAGATGACGGTCACAGTCCTGGCAAAACCCCTCTCAGCCGGGCTGGCCTCACCCAGCCTGTGTAACCTGTGAATTTCCCAAGGCCAAAACGAACATTTCATAAGAGCAAAATCGTCTAGACTTGTAAAAACGTGCTCTTTTTTTCTCTGGGGTAGTAGAAAGAGGTCGGTGGGGTTGCAGGAAATCCAGTGTTCCTGGATACCAGAGCAACCTGGTCTAGTGGGAGGTGTCCCTGCCCATGGCGGGGGGGTGGAACTAGATGATCTTTAAGGTCTCTTCCAACCTAAACCATTCTACGATAGATGTTAGCTTCATTTCTGCTACCGTTTCTGGCTCTTTTACAAATTTGCTGGCGAGAAGAAAAAGGAGTGTAATTGCTTTGAAGTCTTGTATTCTGTACATAACTGGTTATGTATTCTGTACATAGTTGGTTATGGCGGGCTCCTGCTTTTGCTTAGCGTGATCCACAAAATGAAAATATATGATCTCCAAAGTCTTGATAGCAATAGCATATTGATGCAAACTCTTGAATAAAAATGTTTAAAAGGGAATATATAATTATGTTAATAGATTACACTGAATAAATCATATAAAAACTTAAATGGAGTCAAAAGCTAGATCTAATTGCAGAAGGTATTAGCTAAGTAGATGATAAAATAGTCTATGAAACTCAACATTGTGTGAAGATTAAGATACTCAGGGAGAGGCTTTATCTATGTGAATACAGGGAGAGCTGTAAATTAAATACTAAGTTTGGTAAAAGGATATTGGAACCATTGTAGAAGTTCTCTGAAAATGTTTTCAGAGTTTAACAAAAAGTCAAATAATATCTGAAATTATTAGGATACAGTTGAGAACAAAACAGAAAATGTCACTATGTTAACAAGTAAATCTGTGGTATATCCACAGTGTACATTGTCTTGGTCACTTGATTTTAATTAAAATGGTCATTTTGGGAAAAAAAAAAAGTACAGAAAATGCCATTTGAGTGATACAATGTTGGATATAGTCTCTTTATATGGAAACTGACTGAACATATTAAGGTTCTTCAGTTTGGAATCAAAATAGCTGAGTGGTTCTGGAACAGACTGATAAAATCTTTTTGGTCTGAGTTTCTGTGATTTGTGACTTATTTTACACATTCCCCAGCTCATGAAAGCACTCGGTGTCCATGCAAATGTCAGAATGCATGTGAAGTTTAAGCATATGCTTATGTGTTTTCTTCATTTGGGAAATAGAAATGCATAGTTATACATTTCTGTAAGATATTTGTTTAATAGACTGTAATACAGGTGGAGGGAAGAGAAACTCTTTTCCATACTTAAAAGTAGTCCATAATGATTAAAAACTGTTTAACAATTGAAACCAACATGCACTTCTGTGTTGAGAGTTGTGCAAATAGGTAACGTGGAGAAGAATTCTAAAGAAGGTTTTCATTAATAAGAAGTTGGGCACGGGAACAGAATTATAAAAAAAATAAAAAAAATAAAAGTCTGTCATTGCTAATGGAAACATGCTGCAAGTTATTGTCGGGGAATATTAATTAAAATAGGGCATGTAAAATCCAGAAAATATTTTTCATTCCTTTGATGTCTCTAATCAAATCCAGTTTAGATTGACTACTAGTCATCTTACTTAGCTTGTTTGATGTTGATTTATTTTATTTCTTTGAAACTCATAGGGCCAAGCTGTGAAAGTATCCTGTGGTCATCAGCCTGTATTTTTGAGCTGGATGGAAATCAGGCATCGAGGTCGCCAGGGTGAAAATATTGCAGAGATTAACAGACAGTTAGCAGAGAAACTTGGCATTACAGATGGACAACAGGTTTGAAATGCAATATTTTTTTCTTCTTGCAAGATACCTGAAAAGGTGATAATTTAAAAGTTAGCTATGACCTTCTTGTTTCATGGATTTAGAGAGTTACTTCATTTATATCTGCTTATAAGAAAAGCTAACCATTGTGAAATGTCTCAAACATGAAGAGACTTGCTCATTAGATCATTAACAATTGCCTAAATAATGTTACGGTATGCTTGTGAGTAGGTCTTTGGAGGGTCGGAGGTACTATGTGCAGTGCCATTACTTTTAGGAAAATATACTTTTAAGCAATTAAATGGTTTGGGAAGTATGAGAATATTTTGCCTGGAGTTCCTGTTACTTTAAAGTAATTATTGTTTTACTGCATATTTCTTCTTGTTTGTCTTATTTGAGGTTTAAATTTTCATCCCCTTTTTTCCCCCTTTCCCTCCATGTGTCCTCTCTCTTTGAATGTGTATTTAAATTGGACTCTGACTACTGGACACTGTGCTAAACTTCTTGTAAACGATTCTTTCATTGGACCAAAGTTGAAGAGATGCCCAAGAGGCAGACAGAGCTTTCTGACATGGGACTATTAAAATCTCAACATACAAGGGTTTGGTTTTTTTTATATTAATAGGTAGAAATTTAAACAAACAAGAGTAGAAGAGTGTTACTTTACACAATGTTACTATGTAGTATATTCACATAGGCTTGTTCTCTCATGTGGAAAATTTTATTCAGCATAATAGAAGACATCAAAGAATGTGGCTCAAAGCAGTGTATTATCTTAACCTTGTTTACTTTTTTAGCATTAGTTCAGTGGCAAGGTGACTACCCTTTTTTCTTCTAGCAATTAATAGCCTTCAATGGAAAAACAATTGACAAAGGAAACCTAAGAAAACCTCACCCGACTGTTGCTGGAAATAATCATCTATACAATCGAATGAATAAATAATTAGGTAGTTTTGCCATTGTTTTGGATTCAGGAATTGCATGTTTGCTGTGTTTCATAATAATATGCTCTTCTATTTACCATGTTGGGGAAAAGTTATTGCTCTCAACTTTTGCTTCAAACTGAGGACCTAGAGAAATTTAAAATCACTTGTTACTTTTATAAAAGCTGACTTGAAATAAATCTCTCTCAGAGGACAGGTGACTAGTTTTATATCAAGAAAAAATTAATGAACTTTATTTTAAAATCTATGAAATTATATTGTTTGAAAATTGTTACTTTCTGTCAAATGGAACCTTTGGTAAAAATTAACTTTTGAAATATATATTTAATGCTTTCCGAAAAGCCTAAGCCACAATAGCTTTTGTCATTCTTCCTCATACACAGGACCTTAAAACTGTTCTGTGAAAGTGGGACATCATTCATAAAGGAGCTGGTTTTGCTGTTGTATTGTACTTTTTCCCCATTTCTTCAGATGTTTCTGCCTTATCTAAATTTGTGCGTAACTCAATGCAATTTTCAGCATTCTGAAGTCCAGGACATTTAAAAATGAAAATTTAGAAACGCAAAGATGATTATGTGATCAATACACATTAAAAATTTATAGGTTTTTAGCTGATAAAGCTCTTGATGCTTTTCGCATTCACTTACATTCACAGTGTGTTGAGGTCCCCAGGCATGCCCAGTGCAAACCATTTCTGATATGTTGAACGTCCATCTTCTGCTTATGAATTCCCTAGTGTCATTAAGAAGATGTATGTTCAAAGTAGTGAAAATGTATAATGAAGGAGATGTCAGTTTTCTAGTTGAATTAAAGATGGAGCTTTTCTATGTTTCAGAATAAGAAGTTTAATATTTTGAAATGGTGTTACTTTTCCCAGGTATTTCTTGAACCCTGTTCCCACGTCTCCTCCTGTCAGCAGGTAGAAGTGGAACCACTCTCAACAGATGATTGGGAAATTCTGGTAATAAAACCTTTTCCCCTGTCCACGTCCTTTTCTTACAGATGACAGAGATTTTGACACGAGCAGTTATTTGCCCAATGCTCCATTCTTTTCAGCCCCTAAGAAAATACTAAATGTAGTGGGGTTTCATTGTATTTTATATTTCAAATGGTGTATTAGAAAGAGACGTAGAGTTCTATCTTCCAACAAATGTTAAAAATGTATGCAGTATTTAATTTATAGTGATATCACATTTTCCCAGGAACTGCACGCTTCCTCGCTTGAAAAACATCTTCTTGACCAGATTCGAATAGTGTTTCCAAAAGCCATCTTTCCTGTATGGGTTGAACAGCACACTCACATTTACATCAAAATCGGTAAGCAAAAGTGAAGGCTCTTGTGGCACCTTGAGTACGCTGTTTGGCAAGAGTGCATGCATTTATTGACCTGTTTTGTTCATACTCAGGTACGCTTATGCCAGCAACTCCCTATGGGAGATTAGAACCGTGCACTGAGCTTCTGATATGTCCCAAAATACGCGAACTTCAGGAAAATATCACCAGCACGCCTTCCACAGAAAGTGACATCTTGCTCAAAAGTTTTGTGAAAAATAACACGGAGCGAGAAGAAACAATAAAGGATCCTTTTGCCAAAGCACCTTACTTAAAGCCAGGAGTTCTTGAACAGAGTAAGGCTGATGCAAACGTGACGCTTGGCTCAAATATTCTCCCAAATATATGGAATTTCATAGGGAGCATTTTCTCTCATACATCTGAGCAGAAACAAAAGACTTTGTGTGATAAAGACGAAATGAGCACCTTCAAAGACAAGCTGCTGAACTTAATTCACATGGATTCCATTTTTAGAGTATGTCAGTCCCAGCCTCCCAGCGTGCAGAATGCATCCGCCACTCATTCATT